CGGGGGCGGGAGCGCAGCGTCGTGGCCCTTGTAGAGATGCACAAGTGCGTGGACGACGTGTCCGACGTCTGCCAGCGACTCAACAGGAACAGCTGGGGGCTCAACTACACGGCTGCCCGCCCGTCGGGGAAGTTTTCGCGCGGATTGTCCGGTGGGGAGTGGATCCTAACCAGGGCGCGAGGGCTGCTTCGCGAGATGTGGGGAGGTCGGGTCCATGCCGCGGGTTTGCCCCAATCGTGCTGCACGCCCCCAGCAGGCAACCTGGTGCTGATCTCAGCCTACTTGGCGCCTGGCCGGGGAGTGAAGGGCTGGAACAACGACGTGCTTGCGGCCCTGGGCGCTTTCGCGAAGGCGTTGGCGGACCCGTGGTTGGTGCTGGCTGACTGGGACATCGAGCCCGAGTCCTTTCGCTTTACCTGGTGCCCTGCGAGGCTCAGCGCTGAGATTATGACTCCCAGCTGCCGCGCCACGTGCGACAAGGGGCCAGGGCGAATGTGCGACTGCAGCCTGGATCGCCTGGGATGCCCCGAGTTGACGCTGCGATTTGTCGGGCCCCCTGGAAGACGCGCTGTCGAATCGTTGTGAGAGTGCAAGAGGCTCGCGTGCGACGTTGATACCGGCGCCTTTCTGTTCCTGGGGACTTGCCCTCCAGGTGGCGGCCTCGCGCACTGCCGGACCCAGGCAGCAATGGATCCAAGAAGCGCGTGAATTCCCGTCTTCGCAGGCAGCAGAGGCGCTTCTTGAGGAGTTGCAGGAGGCCTTCGAGGAGCTGGGGCCGCCGCGGGCGACGCCCCTTGCTGCCGCCCCCTTCTACATCTCCGACGTGGCGTGAGGCCCAGATGCAGATTGGCTGGGAAGCGTTTCTCTCGCTTTATGATGACGTGCTTTTCGGGGCGAGAGGCGAGCGGGTAGCCTGCGAGTCGAGAAAGCACATCATCTCCGGCTGGCAGGTCGAAGACGGGAGCCAGATGTTGGGTGCTGGGCGCCAGTGTTGGAGCGCGCCGTCCTGCTGTGTGAGGAGGGGGATTCGGGCGCGCTCGAGGCCCGGGGGTCTACTGGCCCAAGGTCGCCCGGGCACCTGGGCGTGCCCGCGCGAAGAACTTTCAGGCGGAGTGGCGGGGCGTGACCCGCACGCTGGTGATCAGGTGCGCGAGCCTCAGGCTGTCTCAAGCTGACCCCGACCAGGTGGACAACTGCGCGAAGGTGGCGAAGACGAAGGTTGCCGAGATCGATGGCCGACAACTTGGTGGCGCGCTTCGGCCAGATGGTAGTCGCCTTCGTGGTCGAGGGTTGGAAGGCCATGATTGCCGACCTGGAGAGGGCCCCCGACCATCGGCTAGGAGCACTGGTTGGGAGGGCGCGCAAGTGGGCAGTTTGGCCCGCCGCCCGCGCGCTGCCATCCTCGCCGGCGTCCTGCATGAAGTAGGTGATGGAGACTTGGGCATGGAAACCTAGAGCAGTTCACAGACATGCAAAGCATGCGCCGCCCACGGAGTTGGGGGGGGCGTCGACGCCGGCGGCTCGCCCACAACGGAAAGGCAGCTGCTCCTCCAGGCGTCGGCTGCTGAGTGGGCTTGAGTGTGGCGAGATCATGTGGGCACATCATCCCAGGACGTGAAGGCCATGATGGCGAAGTGCCTTCAGGTGGCCCGCGAGCGGCCCCTTGCTGCCATCGCAATCGCCGTGCTGCGCAGCCGAAGACCCCCGCGGAAAAAAACGAAACGCGTCATCTTAAGCCCGATCGATGGGCAGCGGCAGCCGACGGTGGCACGGGCGCTGTAATCCCTGTGGAGTCGGGCGGCAGCGGGGCGATTTGCTTGGCGCCGACGTTGCAGAAGGTGTGGTCCAAGTCCAGCGCCGAAGTGTCGGGGGAGTTGTCGCCCTCCACGTCGGCTTCCTGGGGCCCCACAGTTGCAGCATCGCCGGCGTTGAGGGCGGCCCTCATCCGTGCCGTGATTGACAAGCGTGATCGGCAGCTGGGCTTTGAGTATGCGGCGCTCTTCTTAGATTTGCCAGCGTTTTATTATTCGGTGGGTTTCGTGTTGTTAATGCAGGCCGGTCTCGACTGGGTTTCTTGCGATCGTCATGTCGTTGGAGGTGGGCCTGTCTGCTTCCCTGAGATTGGTGAAGAGGGGTCAGATGATCTCCGATGGGGTGGTCGTTTCCCGATCGGTTTTTTATTGGCCCAGGGCGCGGCGCCTCTCTGACCGAGGTCATGCCGCGCCGGCCCCTCGACGATGTCCGCGCGCTTGCCCGCCCCCAGGGCTGTGGAGCTACGTCGACGACATCGTGGCCAGGGCCGAGGGCATGGAGCTCCAGGTGATCGAGGGCCTCAGCCAGGCCGCGGACGCCATGGCCGCAGTGCTGCGTCGTCTGCGGCTGAGGACCTCGGACAAGACGAAGTTGGTCGCGAAATCCGACGAGATCGGGGCGTTGGAGCGGCGCTTCGTCAAGAAGAGCACCCCTGTGCAGTGCGTTCGCGCCGCGGTCGACCTCGGCTCTGACGGCGATGCTGGGCGCGAGAGGGGCGCGGTGCGCATGATGAAGCGCCTGGCTCAGGCGCGCAGCAGGCATCGCAAGGCGATGCGCATGAGGCGCTTGCCGCAGAGCAAGTTCGTTTCGAAGAAGCAGCTGAGCTCGGGCGTCTTGCCCGTCTCTGTCTTCGGCCAGCAGATCATGGGCCCCCCTCCGTCGACGCGGCTGTCGATGCGTCGTTCTGTTGCGGCTAGTGTCGCGGGGGCACCGCGCGACCGTTGCTTGGCGACGGTGGCGCATGCGGTGCTCGGCGTGGCTTGCCCAGGCGTCGGCTTGAGGTGGCAGCGGCTCAAGGAGCGGGTCGCCCTCTGCTTGGCGCAGCCAGCGCTGCGTCCCAGGATCGCCGAGGCCGGGTCGCGGATCATGGGGGAGTTGCGCCAGGGATCGGCGGTCAGGTGTCGAGATGTTTGTGGGCCTATTGGTGCGCTGCAGGCGACGCTCATCCAGGCGGGACAGGACCCGCTGCCGCCGAAGGTCTGGTCCCGCCCCCTGCGGGGCGGCACGATTGACGATTGGATCTCCCCGAGCGGCGAGCAGTTCGCCGCGGCGGCCCCCGCCCACTTCGAGGACGTGCTCGGCGCCTTTACTGATGATAGCTTGTCCCTGCAGCGGCAGCGGCAGCAGGCCGCCGGGCGCACTGCAGGCGAGGACCTGTCGAGAGGTGGGGGTTGGCGACTGCGCGCGTCGAGCTGAAGGAGTTCGATGAGTGGGCTGTCGACCTCGCCATCATCTCGGGCGCCCAATTGGCGCGTGATGGGCAAACTCAGGCAAGGTATGAGGGCTCGCCGCTGCGCCCTCGCTGTAGGGAGGGCCCTGAGACCCCCCTCGCAGAACGTTGTCGTGCCTGGCCAACAGCGGGCGCGACGACTTCGTGAATCGCGACATTCTTGTTCCCCAGGTCCCCGCGGGCCTCGAGGCTCAGCCGGCTTTGTGGCTGCGAGGTGTGCCCTCTGGGGATCTTGCGGTGCCTGCTTTCCTCGAGTCCCGTGAGGCTGTCCAGGGTCATCCTGGCATTTGGGGTTATTGCTGATCTGTGCTCGGAGCCAGCAGGCACTCCTCTGTTCATTATTGGGCATGGCTCTGGAGGCACTTTTGGTGCCGACCCCCCGTCGGAGGAGACGCGGTTCTGTGGTGGTTGTGATGCGTCAGGGTCCGTCTGCTACGTTGCAGTGGCTCCCTCAGCGCGGTGTCGCGCAGATTCTTTCAAGTAGGAATCCCGGGGGCCAGAACGGGGACCTGTGGGTTCGCGCCGTTCGAGCTGTGACCGCCCGTGGCCCTGGGGATGCCGCCCTATTCTGGACCCTGCTGATCGCGGAGGAGTCCCAGCAGTCTGTTACCTCGGCTTTCGCGATTTTCATGTGCCGCAGTAGCGCGAGCGCCGATGTCTTTGCGGGGAAGGCGGCCCACTGGGCCTGGGATTGGTGCGTTTCCGACCCTCCTCGTCGGACCGATATACGGGGTGCGTAAAGCTTTCTTGATTGCGCTTGAGGTTGAACCTTGGGAGGGTGTGCGAGTCCCGTCCGCGCGTTGTCTGAAGTCATCGGAACTTGCCCCTGCGATCAGCCCGAGCTCTCACAGACTTGAGCCGTCTGTTGGTCGTTGGGGGCGTGCTCAATGTAAGATTGTTATCCCGTGGAACCAAGTGCTCAAGGTCGCCTCGACCCAGTGCCTTGATCCTCGCCTGTCGCCTCCGCTGGGCTCGGCCGAGACGCTTGGGCTTCGTCCGGCTTTGGAGAGCGTTTCGAGGCGATTTCGGGAGAGGCGCGGGTGGGTTCAATTCGTCTTCGCTCGGGCCACCGCCTCGCTAGTATGAAGCAGTTAGGCCTTGTACGCTGCATGCTCCGCTGGTTCACGGCCACGACTGGCGGCAGACGGCTGTCCATGCTATCCGCCCCCCCGCCCGCAAAGGGGGGGGGGGAAACCTGTTTCGAATGTGTAAAGGTTCGTTTCCGGAGTACGGGGGTTCACAGGTGGCCATGTTTGTGGCAGCGACCCATGATTTTGTCCAAAGTGCCCTCATGCTTGCCCCTGTGGATGCTTCCCAAGGTCAGAGGATCGCTCCGAGGCCTGCAGGGGAGGGCTCCGAATTTGGTACGCATGAGTATTTTCGTTTGGCCTCTCGCCCCCCGAAAGAGTCCGCGGATAGCATGACCCTCCTGGGGGACTCCGAGGACGTTGAGGGGGGGGGGGGAGGCCGCCTCGGAGCGTATCTGTCTCGATAGTGTTGCCTCCTTCCTCTGGTGTGAGCCTGAGGGAGGCGGAGGTCTAGGCAATTCTCACTCGGCCCTTGGCGGCCTCAGTCCGAGTGGCGAGGGGAGTGACTGAGGAGGGTTGCCCACATCGTGGGGTCGCAACAGAGTCCAGCAGAGTCCCTGCCCCCTCCCTCCCTCCCCGCCGATCCCTCCCTCCCCTCCCTCCCTTCCGCCCCCTCTTTCCCCCTTCCCCTCCCCTCGCGCTCCGCGGAGGAGCCGCCGCGACCGCTCGTGACGAAGAAGGGCTGTTGCATGCCCCGTGTGCGCCGCCGGCCGGCGGCCGCCGGGGGCGCCTGAGGCTCGTTGCCGTCGCCGTCGTCGATGTCCTCCTCCTTCGTCCTCCTGTGGAAGGAGGCTGAGGAAGGGGAGTGGACTGGAGCGGAGTGGACCCCGATGCGGATGCATGCATCACTTCCACAATTGTTTTTGATTGAAAGCCATAGTTTGAAAGTCTGGAGTGCCAATGGTGTGCCCTTAAGGGTCGCACGTGCTATCTTTGGAAAACCAGCCGGGGGATAGCCCATCTTCAGCAATGATATTCTGAGCGGGCGGCTTCATGTGAACCGTATATTCATATATATATATATGAGTTGACGATGTGAGCGGCTTACGGTTTCTATGTGATATGAATACATGTCCGATGCGAATCGTATATTTTTCCATTCTGAATCGTGTACGGTGCCTGTGGTTCGCATACGAATCCGATGCGGAAAGTATACGAACCCGATGTGATTCGTATACGATTCCAATGAATTGTAGACGGCTCCTATGTGAGAAGCGCACGAATGCTATGTGAGTCTTTGACGAATTCTATGTAAACCGTATTCGTCCAAGAGCCCGTTTCTTTATTACTTGGGGCATGACGGGCGTCATGGCCCCCGCCCCCACCGCCCTATGACGTAACGCTCCCCCCTCCAGGGCTGCGCTCGGGGGGCACTGCCGCCGTGCGCATTGGGATCCCCGTAGGTGTCCGCGTAGGAATCCGCATAGAAGTCTGGTCCGCAGTCGTCGTCGTCGCCGTCGTCGTCGCCGTCGTCGTCGTCGTCATCATCGTCGTCGTCGCTCGTGATTCGTCGCTCGTCGCTCATCGTCGTCGTGCGCGCGGACGCGGTTGGAGCTTGTTCTTCATCTCGGGCCGATGACGGCAATCATCGGGGGGGGGGGGTCGATGACGTCACGTTTCGCGCCGGCGGCGTCCGGGAATGCTTAAGAATGACAGAGGACGGGTAGCACCAGCATGTAGGCGGCGATCTGCACCACAACGCCTGTGTACACCACAGTGCCTGCGTGCACCACGCGGCCTGTGTACACCACGCCGCCTATGTACACCACAGCCTGCGTGCATTGCACTGCCCGTGTACACCACAGCGCCTGTGTGCACCACCACAACCGTGTGCAACACAGCACCACTGTTGTACATCGAATGTCAGAAAAAATCCTTATGACAAATGGAGCGCTTGTGGATTCCACAGAAATCAATAGAAAGTAATCCTTATGGACAAATGAGCGCCGCTGGAATCTAGCTAAATTGGCCGTCCGAGAACCACATGGACCGATTCAATCGACCATTCTGCGGTGCACGCCGACATGCGCACGTGCGCTGTAGCGCCAACCCGCACGACAGGGGGCAAGGAGGAGGAAAAAGAGGAGGATGAGGAGGAGGAGGAGGAGGAGGAGGAGGAGGTGGAGGTTGAGGACGAGGGAGGAGGGAAGAACGTCGAATTCGATCATCAGCACTTTCCTGGCGTGGCGTTTAGTTGTCCGTAGCAGATCCTCACATACATGCTCCTTCGACCTGTCCTATGCACGCAGGCGCTGCTGTACACCAGCGCTGCGTTGCAAGCGGATGTTGTGGTGTAGACAGGCGCTGTGGCGTGCACAGGCGCTGCGGTGCACGCAAGCATTGTGGCGTACACAGGCGCTGTGTTGCACATGGCTGCTGCGGTGTACACATGTACGCTGGCGCTGTAATTTACGCTAGCACTGTGGTGTACACAGGCGCTGCGTTGCACACGGTTATTGCGGTGTACGCAGGCGCTGTGGTGTACAAGCGCGCTGTGGTTCAGATCGCCACCTACATGCTGCTCGCGTCGTCGTCGTCGTCGTCGTCGTCGTCGCTCGTCGCTCGTCGCTCGTCGCGTCGTGCGCGCGGGCGCGGCTGTGGTGCCGGTGTCACACGGCGGGGGGGGGGTCGTTGCGTCATCCCCTCCCCTGCTCCTCCCCCATGATGCCCGTCATCGCCGAACACAAAGAAAGATGTTCCAATGTGCATCTTATACAAATTCATGTGAATCGTATACAAGTCCCACGCGTATCGTAAACGAATCCTGTTTGTATAGTACACGACTCCGATGTGAATCGTATACGTTTTCCGAGAGGTGGGCCGTATACGACCCTTATGCAATTCGCATGCGATTCCGATGTGAATCGTATACGGTTCCCACGTGAATCGCAAACGAGTCCTGCATGAATCGTATACGATTCCTACGTGAACCGTATACGCTTATGTGACTCGTCTAAGGACCCGATTTGAGACGCATGCGCTCCCTGTGTTACCGTCTACGAGGCTTATGTGAATCGTGAAAGGTTCTTTCGTTGATCTTATAGGCTTCCTATGTGAGTCGTATACGAATTGTGTGCGCGAGCTGCATGTGGTAACAATGTGAATCGTAGACGACTCCTGTGTGACACGTACACTCGTGCTCTGTGAATCGCTTACGAGAATTATGGGAATCGTGTGCGGTTCCAGTGTGAGTCGTATACAGGCCCAAGTGAATCGTACACCGGCCCTGCGTGTTTCGTGTACGAACCTTGTGTGGATCACAAACGGTTCTCACGCGAATCGCATGCGCATCGTGTGTGAACCCAACACGAACGCATGTGGGCCCGTTCGCGACTTCTATTTGAACCGTGACCTTTTCATGTGCGACTCGTATACGGATCTTGTGTGCACCGTACACGTTTCGTATGTGAATCGTATACGATTCCTGTGTGAACCGCACGCATGCGGTTCATAAGTGTTTCGTCTACGATTCCCATGCAATCCGCTTGCGATTTCGATTTGAATCGTATCGTATACGATCCCTGCCTCCGCGACCTCCTTTGTCATGCGCACGAGCCCGCCGACCCGATGCAGCACGAGGTCGTCCACGACCGCCGCTAGCGACCCGGATTGGTGCTGGATGACCAGGCTGTCGAGCGGCCCGATCAGGAGGAGCTTCAGCAGAGAGGTCGCGAAGCCGTCGCCAGGCAGGATGGACTGCCTTGCCTCGATCACGCTCGAGGCCGCGCTGCCCATGCAGAGGATCCGCGGCGCGCAGTATAGCTCCAGCGTCAACTTGAGTTGCCTCAGCGGGAAGCCTGTAGCAATGTCAGCGTCCAGCAGCCATTGGTGACGCACCTGCTCGAATGCCTTGAGCAAGTCGAGCAAGGCGGCGACCGCCGCCCAGGATTCGGCGTCGCCAGTCGGCGCCCCGCTGTGTGGCCCACTCCCCGATCGCAGCTTGATGCCACATGGCTCGCTCGCAGCTGCGGCCAGCCGTCGCCCGCCAGTAAGGGCGATCATTCGCCTCTTCCCACTTGCGATGCCGCGCCGTAGTCGTGCCAGCACCATGATAACGGCGATGGGCCTCGCGCCTCCGAGCCGCTTCTGGATGAAGCCGATCTTGGTGATCATGAGAGGCCAGGAGCGTCCCGCTCTATCGCCGTGATGATGTCGATCAGGACCGCCAGCGCCTCGTCGCACAGCTCGTCCAGCTGCCGCGGCCTCGCCGCGCAGAAGGACATGCCTGTCGTCGCCGTGAAGGAGCGCAGAACCTTGCGCAGCTCCTGGACTGTGGGCCTAGGCGGCCTCTCACCCAGGTCCGAGGGCCAGTGCAAGCGCACCTGCTCGCAGGATGTTCTCCACCAGCGACTCCACTCCACCTCGAGCTGCGTGACCTGCTGCCCGAGGTCCAGGGGCTCGAACAGCTGCTTGCCGCCGCCGATGGAGTCGTCGTGCTCGGCTTCGCGATTGGGGCTCGGGTCGAGCCCGATGGGCAGGCGGGAGACTGCATGAAGACCACCACCTCCACCTTCGGCCTGCTTCTCGACCCACTGCTGAAACAGGATGGTCCGCTGCGCCATGCCCCGCTCCGCCATCTCCAGCGCGCGGGCGTGGGCGCCCGCGTGCAGCTGCTGCAGCACGGCGGGTTCCAGCAGGGACAGGCGCACGTTGCTGAGCAGCATTCACCACGCCACAGATGGGGCACCACCTGAGGGCAGGACAGAACCTCGCCGTCGTCAGGTGTCGCCCTCACTGTGGCAGGGGCTCTGTCTAGCAGTCTGCGCACACCTCGCAGAGCTTCGAGACGCGCACCTGGCTGCTCCGCGGCGGCGATGTCGAGCAGCACGCTGGTCACGCGGTGCATCCAGGTCGCCTCCGCGGGGACTCGGGGCCAGCGCGCTCCAGCCACAGGGGGCTGACGGTACCGCCGCGGCTCAGCAGGGCCAGTTCGCCCTTTGTGCTTGACCCTGTCCTCTTCCACCTGGTAGATGTCAATCCATTCGTCCCCAGCGGCGTCAAGGAACAGCTGCCAGGCGTTGGTGAGATGGCCCTTGATGTTGTCGACGTGCTCGGACACGCCCCTCGCCCTCTCAAGCTCACCAGCAAGCAAGCCTTTCAGTTCCTGGCTGATCACGCTCCAGCGCTCGCCGTGCGCGAGGCGAGCACAGCCTGCAGGACGCTGGACAGGGAAGGGCTTGGGTATCTGAACCACCCTGACCCACGGCCTGCTGCGCGAGGCCTCCAGCTCCAGGATGACGGGCTTGTGCGGGTAGACAGGCGACCCACTGACAACGCGGACGTTGGTCACCTTGAGCCCGCGCGAGACAATGAACAGGTCAATCGTCCGCTTCGATTGCGCGCAGGTGGGCTCCAGAGTGTCGGCGACGACCGCATCGAAGAGCCTCGGCGCTCCAGACTTCACCAGCTCCTCCTTGGTGCAATTGAAGTCGCCTCCAAACGCGTACGGGCGACCGTGCTCTCGCAGCCTGTAGGCCAGGTCGCGCAGCGACTGGTAGTTGAAGGCGTTGGCGCCGACGCCTGACTGCAGGTAGGCCAACGCTATGCCGCCACGCCGCGGCCCTGAGTGATGTAGCACCTGAATTCGCCCTTCTCGCAGCACGGAAGGACGCGACCCCAGCATGGTGGCCAGCCCATGCTCGCTGCGCACGCACGTGAGCAGCCCCCCCATGTAGCCAGCCCTCCAGCCAGCGATGGCACTGCGGCTGCCCCACAAGCACAATGCCCCCTACGAC